TTCAAGAGTTAAATGGTCGGCCCCTGACAATGGCGTTTGCATTGAATGGATAATTGACAAGTAATTCGATTGTGACGCAAGTGATTTCTTCATTGCTGTTATGATTTGTTGTCCGCAGCCGGAAAAGCAAACCTCAGAGGGGTAAAATTTCATATTGACAGTCATTGAAAAGTTCTCGGGTACGCTTTCCATTACAATGTAAGTCATAACCTACATATGAAATGAAACGATCGCGACAAAATTGCCATGATTCACTTCGATTACCCTGCACCTGAATGAGGTCCAAAACGGTCATTGCCTTTTGCACCTCAGCATGCCCGAATTCTACCGACCTTTTCGATTTATAGTTTCAAATAATTTGCCATTATTTTCATACCTGCAATAACTAACACAGAAAATAACACCAAAAACATGCCACTCAGAATACCCAGCCGAAATATAAGCCAAGTTTGATAAGCCTATGGAAACAAAGCAAAAGTAACAACAATCAGGTATGGATCGTTGGGATTAAAAACATCGTTCAACTCTGGAAAGAAGCACATGCCATACCTTATTCGACTTCGTATCTAATGAGGAATTTTCAGGTTCAGTTTTTTGATGGTAACTTTGGTCTTCTATCACTTCGCCAGCTTCGCAACCCTGGCAAAACAAAATCGACAAGAAAGAGACTGATAAGTTTTTAATATTAGTTTCCCAGGCCGGCATGATGACAACGATTAAACAAGATATCGAAATCTGCTAACGGGTTCTGTTGCACTAAAATATTTATTGGATTAAACCCATATTTATAAAAAGAGACAGCATTCTGTAGCTGTACGTTATTATTTGATAATTCAAAACTTTGGAAACATGACACAAAGAAAAAGTGCATACGATTTCCTAATTTCCGACCGACTCCGAAGGATTTCCTTTCAGAACTCGGCGGAAATTTAAAACTGGAGAAAAATGGCCTTAGTACTAAAAGCAGGGGCTAAACAACCCTAAAAATTAATCGCGAGTTTCCAGCGAATTTTTAAGTAAAATACTAATCGAATGTTGCGCAAACTTCGCAACAGGAAAGGTCGATTTTCAACGTTTCCGACAGATAATGTAACATCACCCGATTCGATTTAAGTTTTTTTTGAACAGGACCTACAAGATTGCGTTTATAATTAAATAACAGCTAACTTTACTTGGCCCTTGAGTATGAAATGTAACAGGGCATAAATTAACATTTGTATTTGAAAAATCACAACAAAAGCAATACAGCAACGAAGTGACAACGAAAATATGAGAACAGATCAAGCGATATCGGATAACTGATAGACGTCCTAAGGCAAGAGCCAGGGTGGCCAAGTTCAAACAGAAATATCTACTTACTAAATTTTTAAACGACCGCTCACGAAAAACGACGCGATTACACCAAATACATAACCTCGGCAGCAAGGTTTCTTTCAAATTCAAATGAATGAACTTTGTAATTCAAATAGCTTATTTGCTGTTTATGCATAATGATTTTAAATACCCCGTGCAAAATTTCTAGTACGAATTTGTAAATGAATTTACCTGGTAAGTCGGAACTTTGCAATAAGTGCGAAGATACGCCCTTGCTCTTCTCTTCTTGCCAGCTTCGCCATTGAGAGTTTGAACAGTCATCATCAACCCTTTGAAATGCATCTTGAATCGTTCGAAGTGTGTGTGAGGTTGATATCGCGAACGCAGTCAAAACAACCCGATGCAATGCATGTACAATATTATGCGATCAATTCGGGGAAGTTAGGAAAACTAGAGATGTAATTATGTTTTTGGACGATTTGCATTCAACGATACATCAAGGAGAAAGCTAGGGTACAAGGACAGAGCACAAGGGTATGATGCAAGGCGAAGTCGCAAAGAACACTACCTAGGTGTGCGCACAATAAAGTATTCCCTGTTGTGATTGTTTTAGTAGGTCACGTGGGAAGAGCCGACCAATTAGAGTATGTGTAGCTGAGGTGTGTTTCCGGAAAACAATAGAGATGAAAAATAGCCAGAAACCTTGGTCAAGCTTGTCGGCCAAGGTAACATCACAGAATTTCTGAATATCATTTGGCGAATAATTAGGCATCCGTTTTCTGTAATTTCCTTCGACGGTGTAAATAAATCTTTGATAGACCTCAAAGTGAGCTTGTCAGTGTGGTTTAACTGGTTTCTGCAATGCCGACAGACGGTTTCCAATTTCAAACGAACGGAAACGTGGACAAGAAAGTGATTAGCAGTGTTTTAAAATATTGGACTAGCCGCTGGGGCAGGCTTTTGCCTGTTCGTACGTAGTTCGCCTGACGACGGAAAAGTCCATATCAAAAACTAAAGGGCCGCTATAATTCTCTGTTTTGCTTACCATGCACGAGAGGCGCAATTTTCAACGTGGCACATCAAGAAAGTTGTTGGTGCGTGACTTCGCCTTAGAAAAATTCATACTCATCCTTGTCAGAAATATGTACATTACCATGCGATTTCTTACTATTTTAGTCAAATTATTAATTCCAAATCAAAGCTGGTTTGTTCAGAATGGATTAACAGTCGCCTAGGTAAGTACGACAAAATCCACATGCAGTTGTTTACACTGTCATGTTTAGGGAGTACGTTCTGAAAATCTTTACCGAATTATTTGACGAATTTCTGAAGATTGAATGAATGTACTGATGATCAATTAGGTGGCTGAAAAATTTCAATTAGCTCCTTTCACAATCGATGTACATTTTGTACACGCTTCTTACATAATACGCTCCCGACCCCAACCTCCCAATAAATTTTTTACCAAGTCATCTGAAAAAGATGAGAGTGCTAACATCTTTAGCCTCCTTTGCAGACGTTCTTTGGGTGTCGAATTAAAACTTCTTCCCCGCCTGGTCTGCTCCATTGAAAACTTGCCTTCGGCATTGTTTGTAGTTATCCAATCAAATCAATGTTATTGTCATTTTAGCGCCTGGGGCGCTTTTTTACCGTGGTTACCTCAAGGGAGGGCCCTTATTCGAAACAGCATGCTTATTTTCTTTGAAAATAAGCATGCTGTTTCGCTAGAAGCGGTAGAATGACGCCAAAGGAGGCGAATTATCAAACCTTTGATTCATAATGCTACATATAGCAACTAAAATCACAAACAAAACATTCAATATTTTGAATAAGCAGGTGTTTAATGAACTGCAAATATTTTGTAGACAAAGTAGAAATGACTAATACGAGTTCACAGATCGAGTTCCTCGTGTATAAAAATAAAGCTATATACTAACTGGCTGTTACAAATTCCAAATTTGTAGAAAAAATATTAGCGGGGGGGGAGGGGCTAAGTTCTCCCCGTATATCTATTTCCCTAATAAAAAAAGCTTAAACGACTAGTATTTGAAAAGATAAATTGAAAGCTAACGGGCTATAGGGTGTCCTTTAATCATTTGTACTTGAAATCCAGGAATTTTCCAACTCAGATCACAAAATTCAAGCTTCCATGCTGTCGTCCATCGATGTAGATGACTGACTGCGTCCTGACGCAGAAAGACCTCGGCTGAAGGACGACTGCAGAGAAAATGAAGATAAAACATCAGTTAATGCACAATCATTGAAAGGACAAAAAAATGTATTTTTTTTAATTAATAATCACTTCAACAAGCTTTATGTGGGGGAGCTAGGTTTTCAGCTTCGGCGTTTTGAGCGGGTCCTTGCTTTTTTGGGGGATTGCTTTTCTTATCATTGAAGAGTACGACAGAAGCGTCCGCTTTTAAGAAGGACGATCGAGTGAGAGGGGTGCCACCTTCAGAAAAGCAAAGGCTGTGGAACGCCGGGGGACGTCCGAGTAAGAGTGGGGCGTGGTTCATCGACTTAATACCCGAAAAGGGTAATCCAAGAGGGAATTTTTGGTCCAAGAAATTGTGTGAAAGCAGTCAAGGGGTGCTTTTCAACTTGGGAGTTGAAATTAAAGTATAGGCAAGAATCGAACCTTTATACCACAGATGTAAAACGAAATCTTTACTATCACCAAAAGGGACTGGTGCTTACCCTTCTGAAGGGTGTGCTCGTGTCTATCGGTTGAGGAGGGCGGCTTAACAACACCTATCCCACAAACAGGCCGGGTTAGAAATTCATTTCCGGCGGAGGCTACTTTGCACACTTCCGGTCTGAACTTAAAAACTTGCCATTTTCCATAGGAAGATACGCGGTGTGCTTTCGTCATCAGAAAGTCGTAGCTTTGAATTCATTGTTTTAGGTAAAAAAAAAAATTGAAAATTGTACAAACTCGCAACAGGTGACAATTGCAAGTGTTCAAGTTAAGGACAAAGTGTGCAAAGTAAATCAAGAATATCTTTGATCTGTGATATAAGCATAGAAATGCCAAGTGAAGACGGATCTGAAAGCGATTACAGGGAGGAAAATCAGGAATGGAACAAAGTGGAGAATGGAGCATGGTGTTCATAAGTGGAATGAAGACAAGCGATTTATGCAACTATGGCAGGAGTTACGAGCTTAGTGCAGAATTTCACTCAGCGAGTTGTGAGATGACTTGACAAGTACGAAAAAATGAGGTGTTCGCAGTGAAAACCGACATGGCACATTTGTGCCACTGCACTCTCTGAACTGATATGTTTACCTAAGGTGCAGTCTTCATTCCTCTCCCACAGGAGTGGGACTGCGAAGTCTCTGTGGCATCCACATGCCGAGAGAGAGCAACAGTTAATAGTGGAAGACCTGACCTGTTAGGCTACAGATAACCCCAGTGCAGTCTAGTATCAAACATACTCACCAACACTAAGCTAAGTGCGTGCAAAAATACATTAAGACAGATAAAGGCAGAAAGAAAAAGTTAATGGTATACATATCACTGGTGTATTACTAAAGACTACCAGCGCCTAACTCGGTACACCTTAACACTACACGTACTCACCTACTCCGAGTCAGGTGCGAGCAAAAATATTTAAAGATATATAATAAATAGGATAAAAGAATTGAAGATAAAAAGTAAGTGTGCTCGATAATTCAAGAATAAAAGTTCTAACTTTGATTTTAGAAGTAAATGCTCGATAGAAATAGGTACGATCGTCAACACGATGGATTTAGCCCGTGGTGGAATAGAAAAAAAGAATACAAAGCTGTGAAAGATCGCCGAGAGAGACCCACTATTGAAGCGAACCTAAATAAATAATTAAGAGGCAATAATTTAAGATGTTCAGAGTTGCTCAAGTGAGCATTGATTAGATCGATGTAAGCTAAATACGAAAGGCAAGTGCCTTCAACACATAAAGCTGAAAATTTAGGTCAAGAGTGTACAAAGAACGAGCACAACAATCCAACGAGTAATAGAAATGTATCTGAGTAAGGAAGGGTACCAGATGGAAACTGGGACAACTGTAGTGGAGTAATGATGGGAACAAATTGCGAAGTACGCCGGTTTTCAGAGATGTTGACTCTGAACTACTAAAACGCACCAGTCAATCAAATTGAGAGACATGTGCACGTTAAATAAGGGTGAACCAAACAGCGAGGCATCCCTAAAGTTAATTAAATCGAGAAAAGAACTAGATGGGAACCATCCCAAAAATAGCACAATGAAAATAGCTCTCAGTTAAGTAGGCATGAACACAAAACACAACGACGCAAACGATCTACATACGAAAGCAAAAGGAGTGAGATAGGGACAGGAACAGAGAGTAAAGCAAGAAAAGAAGTGAAGGCATTCACCGACAAATCACCAGGCTCGTCATGCCACCGTAAAATAAACAGTCGATAACCAAACAAAACATCAACTTTCATTAAACTGCTGTACTTGGCACTGAGCTGGTACACCAGTTAAGCGGAACGAAACCAAAACAGGGTAACATTGCCAAGATTGTCAGCTTCTGAGGAGATTTGGCTAAAGGTCATGTTTACTTAACTTGGAAGATTTATTATTCGAACTGGGAGCTACTTGAGAGTGAAAACGACGCTTCGGTCTACGTTACTAGGCAATGCTAATAATGGAAAGGAGGTTTTATTTTGACCAATCAACGGTGTACTCTGTTATCAACATCTTTCATCATCTTTTTAATGCAAATTTCTTTCATTCTTAGCCATCGAAAACAAACACTTAGGACGCAATATGTTGTTAAGTCTCAATATTTACATTTCAAAGCTGTGGTAATTTACACCTCCTTGTCGATTAATTCATTTAGGTAAAGAAAGCCAATAAAACGTCATTAGGGGAAGAAAGCATTTATTCACAATGAAAGTAATGAAATGCTTTGTTTCCTAACTTGGGAAACAAGCTTGGCAAGCGCAATTTTGGGTTTTTCGTGGTGATGAAACTCTTTGCTTTCTAACGTGTGAAACAACCTTGCCAAGTGCAATGTTGGGTTTTTCGTGGATCTGGGAATTTCGAAATCAGTCTTGTAATGATAAAAAGCTTTATTTCGAAAAAGCCTGCTTCTCACAGTTTGAGACTACTTCTGTCGAAATTACGACTAACACGGGTAGAGCCGATAATATTTTTTTGACAAGACGAGCCACAAACAAAAATTTGAAACAATCACAAAAGACGTGGCACAGGAGGAAGAGAAGAGAGAATAGAGAAGAAAGAGACGTTCGAGTCAATAATAACTAGAGAGCCTGGAGTTATCGTCTGAATATCTACTTGAGTTTGAAGAGAGCGAATTAAGAGAATAATATCTGTGGTGTAAAGGAGGTAAAGGCCTAGAGACCTCTCTGGACGTCGTCCTACCAACTCCTCCGGCAGTGCCACTGGCACGAGCGCGGCTACGGGCTTTGTTCAGGGCGCTCTCAGCTGTTTCTGCACGGTCCTCGGCGTCCTCTAAATCCTTCTGTATCTTGCGACATTTGGCGAGGTACTGAGCGGCAAGGTTCTCCTGAAATGCATCCAAACGCAAAAATAAAATTAGAGGATGAATGTTTAAGCTCGATCAAAGTGCGTATGAACATGAGAAATACGTCTACGGTATGTTATAAAATACGTGAAAGAGGTC